TCACCAGTTTTCTGACCACAGCCGAGTGATGGCTTAGTCAAGAGCGTTTTTTTTATTTTTTATGCGTCCAGCTCGATCAAAAAAAGTCTGAGTTGTAATCCTCTGTCCGGCGGGGGTGGGGGCAGCGGATTGGAATTAACCCAAACTTCTGTGTGTGTGTGTTTGTGTGTGTTTGTGGCTCTCCAGGAATCAGAAGAGGATATGGCCGAATCAGAAGAGTACAAAGAGGCTCGAAACATATTGGACTCGGTGAAGCTTGAAGGATGACTTCTGATGCGTTTTTCTGCCCTCACTGTGAGACTGGCTCGCTTAAATGTCCATTCCTTTCGTCAGGCCTTGTTTGGAGCCGTGGAAGCCAACCGAATCCATTCAAAGTCTCTGCTCCTGATGTAATTATTTCTTTCTGTTTACTGTTAACGTGCCACCAGACCAGTTCACGCTTCTGTGTGTAAAATCCCACAAGAACACGATAAAACGTTCAGTTTATTACAGCAGACTGGAGTTTTTTTTCCCTTTTTTTTTTTTCCTGCCTGACGCACCATCAGGCTTTATAAATATATGTATTTTGAATCAGTCAACAGGATTAATTATTAAACGTTCCTTTTTTTAAATTATAGATTTGAATTGATTCAAATGTTTTCCAGATTCCTGACCTGTAGGTCATGATGATTTTCACTGCTCTTGAGTCAGTGTTTTGGGTTAAAAACTAAACAGTTTCGCTGCGTATAGGTTTTAAATCCACAGAAAGGGACCCCTTCGTCTTCATTTTCTGCCCGGTGGGCTTATCCGCTCCTCAGGAGGGATTTAACTCTTCTGTATTCACCTGCCGGTGTCCCTGCAAACAGCAATGAACCGGGTCATGTGGACACCTGCAATGAAGAGGGGAGCATTCTGGGAAACCCTGTCCCCACAAGACAAATGCTGGCTGTGGCCATGAATGACAAAGCAGCAGTCTCAGGTCCATCCATTATCCCCACGGCCCAAAATAACCACACCTCACATTAAAGGCTGCTGAGACTCCTTCCTAAATAGCCATACTAATAAATGAACTCAATTGCCAGACAAATTAAGGTTACATTTGACTTGATCCTTATTTTACAGATTTCGATAATTATCGGGATCACCCCAAAGTCTCATTACCGCCCTAATGAGGCGCTGCTACTCCGTGACATCTACCCCGCTCCATCTCGTTAAGGAAATCGCTCTTCAATGCTGATTATTTTATTTGGAGGTATAATTATATTTCTTTCGGATAAATCACGGCCTAATCGAGTCCGTGCAGAGGGCAGCGGCGCTAATTGAGGCATGGGATGCGGCGGCGGGGCGCCACACCTGGGTTCGTGTGACCGGAGGACCCGTAAAGGCAACACGGAGCCCTGATCCGGGTCTGGGTCTGGGTGTGGGGGGGGGGGGGAAATACCAGAAGGTTTGTCCAAAAAAAAACTAAGATTTTTCCTCCATTTTTATTTGACCAAATCAAACTGGATGGGCAGTTTAAGGATCTGGCACATGGCTCCAGGACGCACAACTCCGTGCGTAATTACGCACAGCTCGTCGAACGGCTTGAATTCTCCTAAGAGGGGTTCCACCCGGGTTTTTATCAGATCTGGGCCTTAAAAATCAACCTAGTCCTACCATAGAAAGGTCAGCCAACATTTCCAACCAGATGAGAAACATTTGAGCCGAATGGCTGTAACCTTAAGCTGCATTCGTTTAGGGACGTTACTCGCTAGAAAAGGTCAAACTTTGGGTTAGTTACAGAATATTACTAGAATATTTCAGGTTTCTTCCCGTAACAAGGAGCTGTGCGTCGGTGTGTTAAATTGCTTTTTTTTTTTTAAATGCACAGTGAAGCAACCGGTGAACCAGTTTCAGCAAAAAAAAGCGTCATTTGGCGCCAGAGGAAAGGGCGAGAGCTCGCGTTGCTCTTTAATTTCCATCTCCGCTGATAAGAGGTGCTGGCAAACACGGGGGTGCCTGACGTTACACGGGAAGTGGGGAGCTTTCGGCGTTGAACCTTGTCGCCACCGGTCGGGTCAATAAAGGGAACGAGGAGTTTTGTCCCATTTTCCGCCTCCGAACTTGGTCCTTGTCAAACTCGCGCGGCTGCGTGCTGAGCTGCCGCATCAGGAGCAGCTGCTCTTCTCCTCCTCTCCACAGTAACTTACTCCCTCCTTCAACACCCCCCCCCCCACCCCCCCCCCCCCGACTGTCACCGAATCAGCTGCATGAAACAAGAATCTCATTTGTTAAAGTGGGAGCTCGTGGAGATGGAAGATCGATTGTTTTTTTCTCCTCAGAAATCTCTAATTGAGTGAATGCAGACAGGAATAAAAAAAAAAAAAAAAAAAAAGGAGGAGAAAGAAATCGCCTGTGCCCTGCTGTTCTGGCTTCTTTCTCCGTGGCCGACCAGGAGGTTGCTGGTTCGACTCCACGTCAGTCCCCTTCACTCTGACCTTTCTGCTCCTTTATTCTGAGCAGCTCCTCTCCTCCACGAGGCGTGTAAACGTCAACTTTCCACCCTGACGCACCGCATAATTTGGCATATTTGTTTGTTTATTTTTCTACTGTCACAAATAAGATTGATGTGCGCGTGTTAGATGAGTTTTAGCGCGAGATGCAGCTATGTGCTCAGGTCACTGTTTACCCTGATTACTCCTGGAACCAACAAGACCTTCACAGAGAGAGTGTCTACATTTAAAGCTTTAAATTAAATGAACAAAGCAACAGAGAATTAATCAAATTAAACTACACACTGGGAAGGCAAATTATGGAATACAGTTTGATATAAATGGATAGAATTATATTTATTTCATATTTGCTCTTTTTCTAGAGAAATCTGGATATTTTACCCTAAAATCTTTAAATTAAAAAATACCTAACAATATTTGGACCAAATCTGGGCCTTCGAGGTCCAACAAATGGCTCAAATAGCTTGACATATATTTCCATAATAGAAATTCCATTTTCTTATGTTAAAAACCTTCATTTATAGATTGAACAAAGAAGCACAAATCTCTGCCATGGGCTCATCTTTTAATACAAAATGCCTCAAGCTGACACCTCATGATCTCTTCTCTTGTTGTTTGGGTTAAATATGACCTGCTGCAGCGAGAGGAGTCATTCACTCGTGTTTGTACAGCTATAAAAGCGTGGAGCCATTGAAAAGTCGTAAAACGAAGCGCGCAATCCATCATCCCGCAAAGTGAAGGCTCTGAATTATTCTCACAGCTCTGCCGGCGGCTGGAAAAGTGCGTAAAATCAGCCACGGGGAGAAAAATACGCAGAATTGTGTGCGCATTAATAAAGATTAATATGCACCGTTCACCATTTTTTTGGACAAACAGCGCAGGCCTTTATTCCGCCTGGAAATAAACACGAGCACGTCCTCACAAAATCGAATGATTTGTAAGCTATTAAAAATTAGATTTCGTTGTTTAAATATCCTAAAATCTACCACCTATGCCTCTAAAGACGTTCGAAATTTGAATAATGAAGACGACAAATATCTCCCAAGTGCGCATCTTCGTCTCTTCCTCGTCGAAAGACGCACAAACCGGCGCAAACGCAAACCTCCATCCCATCCCGACGCTTCCCCAACACATCCCGGAACGCGTCTCCTCTCCTCTACGGTCCATCCCTCCCCAGTCTGTCGCTCGTGCCTCCAGATTGGAGGCGAATAAAAAGCTGCGCGCGGGCAGCCGAAAGCCCCCCGGTTTTTCACGCTCGGACGCCTCCTTTGTGGCGGTTTTTCAGCTCACGACAAAAATAAACCTGCTCCCCGAAAACGTCCAGACATCTGTCTCAAAGCAAGCCGATTGTTTTTTTTTTATTTCCCTTTAAATATGCCTCACACAGCGTGTGCGCGCGCCTTTGCTATCGGTTTGTCATGTGTGACTAAAAACGTGTTGTGCTAATTGAATCTAATGGCGTTTTATTTCGTGTCAAACAGTTTAGTTTTTTTTAAACTCCCTTTTCACACTTCCTTTTACAAATATTCAGCTTAATTGGGATAAATTATGAAAAAACAACAGGACAGAAACTGGCCTTCTCCAAATGGTTGTTTGCTGGTGTCAGACTATCTATTCGTGGCTGTCACATTAACTGTTCCCCTTCATCCAACCCCCTCCCTCGCACATAATTTACACTAAATCCCTCATTTTTTGAGAATCGACACTAAATATAAGTAAATTACAACTAATCTAAGCTGCTTTTACTCAGAGAGCAGTTGGCACTGAAGGCTTTGGTGGACAGGTTCGACGTGCGTAAACCAGTTTCGACCTCGAAAATGAGCTTGTGTAGGGATATATAAAGTTTGTTGTTTGCTTTTCTTAGAAATCAAGTCGATTAGAGCCAGTTCTGGTCTCCAATGGCCATTTGATGTCATAAGCACGCCGTAGGAATCAAATGAATAAAGAAATCGAACCACAATTGTCATAGAAAGGGCGAAAAAAAAACCCACACTCATCGAGCAACCCAGAGTGAATTAGCCATAGATTTGGCTCACATGAATAACTCTAACTCCTGTTCCAGTGGCCCACTATAAAAACAAGAGCAGAACAGCATGCACAATTAAACAAATATTGTGTGATCCAACATTTTTTCGAACGAGTCGAGGCCTTCGCTCAGATATTAAATCAGGTGATTTTATTGGATGTAATTTGGAGGAGAAATCAAAGCCAATTACAGGAATGAGGAGGAATGAACTTGTGGGATGTGGGGATGGAGGAGGTGGATGAGGGGGCGCCGGGGTCCAGAGCTAAAGCTGACATACCTTGGGCTTCAGCTCTGATTGGTCCTCGTTTGGAGAAGCTCATGGGTTCATTCCGCCGTTAAGCGCCTCCCCATTTCTCTAAACTACATTATAATGCAACGAACCTCCCTTTTAACCACAAACCGAATTTGCTTTCATTTAGGCTATATATATTTCTTAAATAGGTTAAAGTCATAGAGATTTTTTTTTTGAGCGGGAATAGCATTTCGCCCTGGAGCGGTGCGCAATGCTTTCTCATGCCGACCTCCTGGATGCTCGCCTCGGTGAGTTAACATCACCAAACTCCGGTCTTCAACTCTACTGTAAGCTGGAGTAACTTCTAATCTTAAATCAAGCTCAGAAAATTGTCAATTTGCTTCTTATATTGTCTTAATGCGATTGGAGTGAGCCAAATTTGCTTAATTCATTGGAAAAGTAATTATTATTATTACATTACTGCGTAATTTGATTTAACAATTTTCTAAGATATCGCTCCGATCGAATTGAATGAACAGTATTTAAGGAGCAGATTGTAATGTGCATGCTAACTCACAAAAAAGAGCTGCCGTGTCTGCATTTTGTTGTTTAAAATAAGTCTTGAATTTGTATTTGGGGTCGTTTAATGCATGCTCTGGAACAGCTTTTGACCCATCTTTTCTACCTCAGTAAAAATAATGCTTGTGCAAGTCCTAAATCTGCCTTTTTCCCTTGTAAAACCACATATTTGTTCAGTGTTGACTGTAACCTGGTGACAGTGCTCTAACCGTGTGTTTTTCCTCCCCTCAGAGAAGGTGTTCACCCCCCCCCCCCCCCCCCAAGTTTCTCACCTCCTGTGGTTCTCTGTGCAGGGATGAAGGATGCCGCGGAGCTCCTAGGCCACAGGGAGGCTCTCAAGTGCCGGCTCGGCGGGGCCGGACCCGACCCGGGCCACTCCGGGGACCTGGGCCCGGGCTCGGACGGCGTGGAGGGAGCCACGATGCTCCCCGGCGACGACATCGGCAGCGGAGGGGGGGCCAACCCGGTGCAGGTGAACAGCAAAGAGCAGGAAAAGCAGCAGCAGCAGCAGAACAACGGCAGCAACAGCAGCCAGAACCAGTCCGGGGGGGGCCAGCAGTCCCAGAAACAGAAGCGCCACCGGACCCGCTTCACCCCCGCGCAGCTCAACGAGCTGGAGAGGAGCTTCGCCAAGACGCACTACCCGGACATCTTCATGCGCGAGGAGCTGGCGCTCCGGATCGGGCTGACGGAGTCCCGAGTGCAGGTGGGGAGCCCGGAAATGCGATTTTAGTACCGTAGTTTTCTGCGTGGGATTAGTTGGTTAAAAACAAACCTGGACGCGAATTATCAGATGAAGGGGAACACAAATGTTTCAACGTTTCACAGCTTGGCTTTATTCCCTACATGATAAATAACTAATCTTACGAGAACACTGACTCAAGAATATCTAATATCCATAGAAGAGGTGGGATAAGATATTCAAACATATTTTCTGACAAACTTTTATTCAAATTTTTAAAAACAGAGCTAGAAAGACACAAGTCACATTTTCTTTTTTCAGCAGATTGAATTTTCAACAGACAATAATAATAATTTGTTCATAAAAATTAGTTTTTTTAATCTATCCTCGTGTAAATTTTTTTTTAGGTTTTATAGTACATTAAATCAAATTGTTTTATGGGTCTGATCCTAACGTGCTCGAATATGAAAGGTTCTTTTAAATCAAATACACCTAAATAGGATTTTAAAAATGCACAAATACACATTTTTTGTCACTTTAAAAAAAGAAGACTTGGATTTAGCTTCATTTGTAGAATGAAGTGTGTCCACTAATAGTGTCCAACCCGGTGGATTAAACACGTGGTTGTTCCTCCAGGAACCTTTAACATATTGGCCTTGTTGCTACCCGTAATATCAGGAACTAATCATAAAAAAAAATATTTAAAAAAACGACATTCCCAGCAATTATCGACTGCATTTGTTCGTTTTATAGGCAGCTCGTTTAAACCAAGTTCCAAGCTTCAACATAAATTCTGGCTGATTAAAACTGGCCTCCATTTTGTGCCCATCTCCCATCATCATTCCGCCTCTGATCGCCTCTTCATTGCGCTCATTTACTGGCCAATGACATTAGCCTTCGTCCTGTAATGGTCAGCGCCATTCCACGGCTCTGATCTCATCCTATTTCATTCCCCATACCAAGCCAGCCTTTGTTTCCCACCCCCCCCAGCTATGCCCTACACAAATCCAGAGTAAGATATCAACCACATTACTGAGACTGTGGACTTTTATTGGATTGCAGAGCCAATTGCGCTCGTGCGCTCACATGTGAAATAATACCCCGATTATCATTATTATCGTTCAGTTTCCGGGCCATTTACATAAAATCAGAATTAGTGAAATGATGCTCATCCACCATTACGTCGTGGGGGGGGGGGGGGGGATATCAACGATGAGGCTGTCAGGGCACGCGCAGAGAGCGCGCTCCGTCTCCCCAAAGCCGCTGAGAAATGGCGTTTTCTTTCCTCTGAAGCGCATTTCAGGCCGGATTTCACGGCTGGCTACACCGGGAGAGAGCAAAGTGAGATTGTCCCGTTCTTATTACCGCGCCCCTCTTTTCTCAAGCAAATCTTCACATTAATCATAGAAGCCCGTTTCCAGGCGAGCCGAAAAAAGGGGCCCAAGGACTCCCGGAATCCAGAAAAAAAACAAACACAGCTATTGATCTAAGCAATAACATCATCTGTAATGTGTGTGCAGCTCCAACAAAGCTGTCAAAAGATATTGGGGAACATTTATAAAAAAGCAAACAGAACAAAAAACAGATTTATTCTATTAATGTCTAATTAAGTTATCGTTACAGTTCAAATAGAAATGCCAAGCAAAGAAAAATAAATGGAAGCAAAAATGATATAAACAGAATTTAGATGGAATTAATTAAAGTTAAAACGGAATGTTCTTTTAAATTTGAAGAAAAAAAACAAAAACAAACAAACAAACAAACAAACAAACAAAAAGTTAATTTATGCCACAACAGCAGAAACAAACACGATGATGGATATTTTTTACTGTCTATGGTAAAACATGTAATGGGGGAAATAGTTTTATATCTGTGTATTAATATCAAATAACCTGAATAAAATTGACTTTAAAATATGTAAAATATATAATATACTACACTGAAATATAATATACTTTTCATTTGGCAAAAAAAAAAAAAAAAACCAAAATCCGTTTTTCCCCTCCCTGTTCGCTGTTTGTGTTTGTGATGACAACACACTGATACCAGCACCCTCTGTATATGTGCACCTCCTGTTTCCACCGTGACCTGGCAACGTCCCTATAATAACCCCATGCCTCCCGTCCCGTCCGGTCTGGTTGCAGGTCTGGTTCCAGAACCGGCGCGCCAAGTGGAAGAAGCGCAAGAAGACCACCAACGTGTTCCGGGCCCCGGGCACGCTGCTGCCCACGCACCACGGCCTGCCGCAGTTCCCGTCGGCCGCCGCCGCCGCCGCCGCGGCCATGGGCGACAGCCTGTGCTCCTTCCACGCCAACGACACCCGCTGGGCCACGGCGGGCATGCCCGGCGTGTCCCAGCTCCAGCTGCCCCCGGCCCTGGGCCGCCAGCAGGCCGCCATGGCGCAGTCCCTGTCGCAGTGCAGCCTGGGCGCGGGCCCCCCGCCCAGCTCCATGGCGCTGTCCAACATGTCGTCCAACGGCTCCGGCCTGCAGTCGCACCTCTACCAGCCCACCTTCCCCGGCATGGTGCCCGCCTCCCTCTCCGGCCCCACCAACGTCACCGGCTCCCCGCAGCTGTGCAGCTCCCCGGACAGTGACGTGTGGAGGGGCACGAGCATCGCGTCGCTGCGCCGCAAAGCGCTGGAGCACACAGTTTCCATGAGCTTCACCTAGAGGTTTATTCTTTTTTTGGGGTTGTTTTTTTTTTTTTTTTTCCTTTTTCGCTAAAGCAGTGATCTTTCTGCGTTTCGTTCCCAATCCCCACCGTCTGGTCAAAAAGGCTGTCCCCCGGAAACATTGCAACGAGGATTCTTTGTTTCCATCCCCAAACTCCTGATGGAGAGGAGCATGGGACGCACCGGGCCTGGTTCAGTTTGAAGCTATAATTTATTATTTCGCATGTAGCCTTTCGTCGACTATTTATTTGTCTATTTAAACGAACTTATGGGTTGGTTCAGTATTTATTTGGGAGACACCCGCGGGCAGCCTCGACGCTGCTTGGTGACTTGATAGTTTTTTTGGTTCCAAGGACTGTTTTTTTGCACGACATTCTCCTCTAAAGGGGTCAAAACGCTCGCACACTGGGACGTGCAGAAACGAAAGAGAAAAAAAAACGAACAAACTCGGAGGTTTAAAAGACTGAGAACACGAACGATCCTGGAGGAGAGAGAGGAGGAAAACGTGTCCAACAGGAATCAGAACAACGTGGGAGAATAACTTGACTGCATGTGCTGTCAAAAGCAAAAAATAGAAAACAAGAATTAAAAAAGTGGGGGGAAAACTTTAATTAAGACAAGGAAACTGACTTAACTATAATCTGTTATATAGGATGTTTTGTGTAGGAAGCACTCTTGTTCCCATTTTGGTCAGTTTGTGATAACTTCTGTTTTCCAAAACTCTGTCTGTGCTTATTATCACATATGCCTTTCCTAAATGTTTGAACCATTTTGTTTCATGGACATGTTTATATCAATTCAGTGTAAATGATCAAATAAAAATCAATTTCGATTATGCCACACCACCGTTCAACCCTCCTTTCTTCAGGCAGCATGGAGCCCTGTCCTGCTGTGTCGATTTTTCTTTTTAGTGAGAAAAGAACGAAGAAGAGAAAATTAGGAGAAATTGATTTTGATGACATGAAGCTTTTGAAAAATATAATGTATACAGATTTAATCTAACCCAGTCTGCCCTTACACATCTGCATGGCCCACAATTGTTTGGATTTCACCTCAAAGTTGAATTATTTCTGGAATCATCAGTTAAATTAAATTATTTCTGTAATCATCATCAAATGTTGATAAACCGTTTATTTTTTCCTTAAAGACAGCAAACTAAACCAATACAAAAGTGGCATGTTTCCCAAAAGAGTATATTTACTTATGTTCAAAATGTGCAATTGTTACTGGTTTTAATTATTTTCTTCAAGAAAAAACACATTTTTGATGGAGAAATTGCTCTGTGACATCATCCAAAGCAGTTCAGATTAAATCTAGACATTAATATGCCATCAGTAATAATAATCCACAGCTCCATGAAATGTTCACAATATAATTTCTAAGCTTGTTCTTCAACCTGATGATAACAAAAAATAAAACTCAAGAAAAAAATCTGCAGGTTTTCTTATTATATGGAAATATTTTTCAAACTGTGGGAGTTGTTTCGGCTGTCAGCATGTCCTCTGCACACAAAGCTTTTACATCATCCTGCAGGGCAAAAAAAAAAATGGATTCAATGCACGCCTTGAATGATTATAATAGAACCCAAAAACCGTCTTTTAAAAACTATTTATAGTCTAAGGTTGATCCTCTCATGAAGCAAAAGTACAAGCGGCACTCACAAAAGAGATCCGCAATGAATGTTAAAAGTCCAAATGGGTCATTTAACCAAGATCTGGGGTGTCAAACTCAATCTTTAAACTGACAAATGGCCTGTTTTTTTTCTCCAGAAAACCCCTTAAATCAGGACCTGTTTAATATTCTGTAAAGCCCTTAACCAAATATAAGGCCAGTGGTTGAAAAGTTTGTATGGCATGAATGCTCAAATCTCCCATTAAGTGGTTTAAACTCATTATTTCAACATCAAACAACTGACTAAAGACGCAGTTTAACCGGTCGGGTTATGTGTACCTTTTCTTAATTGTGCATTCTCTTATGAGGATGTGTTGTGTGTCATTACAGCTGTGTTGTATTTAATTGTCAGTCATTATCTGCTCACAACGACAGATAAACCAGTTTTACTCGTGCACATTTACAGTCATTTTGATCTCTTTGCAGCTCCTTTGCAGATTTGAACATGAGCTGGTTTTTATGGAGTCAGTGAACCTACCGTTCACTGACTCAAATTTCTATCTTCCTCTTATGGCAGGATTTGGACCCCTGAAAGCCGGCGCCACATTTACAAAGAGTTTACATTTCTTCATATTTAATAATGAGAAAATAAAATAACAGAAGGTCAAAGGTCAGGGATTAAGTGTCTCAAAGTATATTCTCTCACTAAGGCGGATTTAAGATGACTTCCAGTCATGATGCACATTCAATGTTGGGCTTGGTCTAAAAACACAATTTACATCCACAATTATTGCTTTTTCTAATCAATCAAACCTTAATTTTTTTTAGTCCTTTGTTTAGCAAGTCTGATTCTTTTTCTCTTTACTGGTTCTGGAAGCACAGGCTTGAGTTGCTGCATTATTATTTTGACTGTATGGGACAGTCTACTCATTTCAATCTGTAAAAATAAATAAATAAAGAGATATGGAAATAGACAGTGGTAGTGAGTAGGAGTCAGCCACGCTGCTGGTTCTGATACCAGCAAGCCCTCCTCCGCTTTAAAGGCACGAATGATTAATTCACAGCCCAATTTGCTTAAATTGTGACAGAACCTGCAGAATAATTAGAAAAAAAAGAAAACATTTTCATTACCGCTACAAATGCTGCCTGTTTGCTTCATATCTTCAGTTTAATCTAAGACTCTGAAGGAGTGCGGTGGCTCACGCTCTACAAAATGTGAGAGCGTTTAACCTAAGATCAAATCAAATAAAACAAAAACTTTTTTTAAAGTCAGGTTTTTAATAGCCTGTTTCCTTTCTTGTGTGAGCCCTTATTGTTCCTATGTGAATCAGACTCAGTGATATCAACCAAAGAGGCCTGATCCCTCTGGAGGAGGTCACTGAGCTGAAAAGACCCTCTAATGACCCATTAATAAGTTTAATTTAAGTTACTAAAACACTAAGCATGTAGAGGAGGGATTTCTGAAAAATGAGAGTACCTGGCTCAGTTTGTCCTTCATTTTTAGGCTGGAAAGAGGTTTTGCGCACACTTTAGTGCACAATAGGCTGGTTTAATTTAAGCAGAAATGTCAGAAATAGAAATGAGGTAAGCAGGTTGTGTTTCTGTCTGTGTTACAGAACATGGTTTCTCCCAGAGTTCCTCTCCGCTCAAATCTGGGAATTGTGCTCAGGCTCAAACTCTGAGCGCCAGCATGTTTACGGTGGCTCGTCTCCACTGTCTGTTGTTCACTTCTAAATTCACTGGCAGCCCGTCCAGGATGTACTCAGCCAATGGAAATCATTTCAGAGGTGTCAGCGTTTTTCTGCAACTCTCACTTTACTGGATAAGTGTGCATGGCAGACCGGGGGGGGGGGGGGGGGG